TACTGACCAGGAGAGAATGTGAGTACAGCAGTTGGTTTGGTGGCACTGATACTTATAGAGGAAAATAATAATTCTGATAGAACATATATTACATTTCGTGGTGGAGAATTATGATTATAGGCATTTAAAATGCATGGAATGTTTCTGCTATACCTATGTGGTCTTAAAGGCCTTTATTACACAAAGCTTATTTACTCTCAGAACTCTAAATTTACCATGTCATTTTAACACATTCTTGGGGGCTGACAGAACTGGAGATACTTTCATAGGCTAATGTAAGTGGACACACAGAAGTGCCAAAGTGCATTAGGAAAATGAAAATCTATTCTGCTTCACGGTTGAATTTACCCTTCTCCAGAGACTGACTGTATTTGCATATTTTGTTTTCAATATATATGAGTTACACTGAAGAAGGTTTGAACTTGAATAAATGCTACGATTAAATGACAGACATAGTGGTCACAAACTCAGTAGCCTATCATAAATTTTTATTTTCATAGAAATTTAAGCCTGTTTACTTATTGGTAAAAAAGATATTTGTCCTGTAAAAATGAGTAAAATTTTATTGGAAAAGGTTAACTACTGAAAGATATATTTCATAATTACTATTTGTATTACTAATATATGAGGAGAACTAAAGGGTGAATTGAATCAAAATATAGGTGATTATATAATTGTTTTTCATAAGTGATTCTTTTCTGATCATTTCATGATTGTCTACTGCCAAATATTTCAAAATATCAAAGTCACTATAGACATTATACAGATGATCAACTTACTACTTGAATCAAAGAAATATGGAAGCTGGATTTATTTTAAAAAACTACTATGACCATTTATTAATTATAACTCAACTAAAACTATTTAAAGCAATTTGGATCCAGGTTTTTAAAATTACTTGTTATAAATTTCATAGAAATACACATCTAGCTGTGTTTAATTATAAAATGTAAATGCTTAGTTTTTTAAAAAATAAGTCTTGATACTTTATCATATTTTTAATAATTGAAATTTATAAGGAGAAATATATAGTTGTTTATATGGAAAATAATACAATAATTAACAAATAATAATACAAGAATAAACTCTATGTTTGGTATACTCATAATTTTACACCTATTTTGGCCCCACCCTGTATCCTGTATAATAAAAGGGTAATATGCAAATTGTCCTATTGACCAGGAGTTGGACCAATGTTTGACCAGGGGCCAGGACCAGCCCACCAACCTCCTGTGGTCCCCCCCTGACCAGCCTGGCCTGATCACACACCCCCACCCTCCGCTTCAGGGGCAAGGCAGGCCGGCCAACCTCCCATGTCCCTTCCTCTGGCCGGCCTGGCCCAATTGGCCCTGATCGGGGCAGGCCGGCCAGACACCCCCCCACCTGTGCACTAATTAGTGCACCAGGCATCTAATATATGTATCTCCCTATCCATTCATCTCTCCCTTGCCATATGAAAATGGCTCATTTAAATAAACTGTATATGAACATTGCTTCTAATATCAAATGAGTATCTCATCCATTAGGACTTGTATTTATCACTTAGAGTCATGCATGAACATATATTAATGATTTGCTTCTTGATTTTATTTATTATACATCCCCCACCATCACCACTATCACAGGTGCGTGTGCGTGCATGCACACACACACACACACACACACACAAATTGGGCCAAAGGAAAAGAAAAGGAAGAAAAAAATTGTGGTTTAAAGCAGATGTTTCTTAGGGGAAGTATATTTACCCCTTTCACTATGAATAGAATGTTTCTTTCTCACCCAAATCCTGATGTTGAAACTCGAAACCCCTAATGTGATAGTATTTGGAACTGGAACTTTGGGAGATAATTAGGTGATGAAAGTGGAGCCCTTTTGATGGGATTAGTGCATTTACAAGAAGAGACAGGAGGGAGCTTTCTTTCTCTCCAAGTGAGCACACAGCGAGTCAGCTGTCTGCTAACCAGCCAGAGAGCTCTCCCTGGAACCTGGTTGTGCTGGCTCCCTGATCTGACTTTCTAACCTCAAGAACCATGAGAAATAAATTTCTGTTCCTGAAGGAACTAACCTACCTATTTTATTTAAAGTTCTTTCCTCTTCAACTAACCAGGCATGCTGATCACACAACAAAAGAAATGGCAGGAAAGCTTACCTTTATGTTTCCACCCTTTAATCTCTCAATCAGTTACTAGTATCTATCCGTTCATCTCCCCCTTACTACATGTAAATGCCTCATGTAAATACACTGTAAATCTCTGGTACTAGGTTGACTATACGAAGCTATAACACAAATAAATAGATTAGGTGCTTTGTAAGCATTCTGAATTGGAATAAAACATTTAGCTTTGTTCATTCTGATCTCCCAGGTTTTACTTGAATAGCTTCTACAAAACTAAAAATGCAGTGTATATTCCTTTAACTTGATGTTTCCATGTGAAATTTTATAGCATTCATTGTACCATGCTTATTTATATAAGCCCACACAATAAGGAAAGTCTATCAGTATAATCAAGTTCAATTAATATGGCCTTCAAACAAAATTTGATCTTATCTTCCAATAACTTCATGGCCTTTTTCATGACCTTTTTTCTTTTCCAAGTTATCCATTTTCTACATGCTTGGAATATCAGAATATTAGCTTTTTATATTTTTAAGGCCTTTACTTTTGCAGTGCCTTTCTTTGCCTCTTTCTGGTGTTTTCCTTTCCCACCAATATTTCCTCCTTGCTCATTTAACTTTCTAATTGAATTCTGCCCAGCCCCTTTAGAGTGGCATGGCCTGTTTGCTGACAGGCTGCATTTTTGCTGTGTTGCTTCAGCTTGAGTGGAGGTACAGAAATGCTGGTATTTCCAAAGCATCCCATGACACTCAGCTTCCACAAGGCAGAGCAGAACAGCAGCTGGGTGGTAAAGCCTACCCTGCGGGCCCAACTTTTCAGATAGAGTTTGAACGCATCAATGCTGAAAGGATACCTTAGGCATTTGAATAAGCATCATAAGCATTCCTGAATCTGAGGTGTCAAGGAAGCAAATACCTGAACACAGAATTGGATTTCTTTCTAGCTTTTCTCTAAATCTCTGTTTTTCAGCTGTAATTTGCTAACCTTGAAAGAGTCCATCTGAATGCTGCCTAATTTTAAATGCTACTTTTAAGCCATTTTACAGGTTAATAACATGTGTAACCCCCTCCAAACGTTTTTATTCATGGGCTATTAAAATTGTAACCCATTAGCAGAAATTATTTTTAGTAAGCTTAGAAACAAGGAGCATTTTACATTTTATGTGTTCTTTGCATTGATTTAAGGAAACCATGAAAGATCTGTGGTCAACTCTCTGGTGCAATTTGTAAAGAATAATTAATGAATTGCTGAATTGCATTTTTGAAAGTTAGTATTGATTTACATTTAAAAGTAGACAATCCATATGACATTATTGATTAGCAATATGAATGCTAAGTTTGAAAATATCATTTCCTCTTGTTATATGGCTTCATTATTCCAACGCTCTCCCACCCGCTTTTTTAAACTTCTGTTGAACATTTACTCTCGAAGCATTACATGCTCTCTCTTATTGCGCTCTAATCAGCATATCCATCACGTCATTGGACCATAGGCTCCTTCCTGAGGCTGTAGATTCTATCACATTGTTACAAGTTCCTGTTTATTAGTTGACATTAGAGTCATCATTCTATTTGCCTAAGTAGCAATGTGAGTTGTGTTTTACCCATTCTCTCTAGGATGTGTGTGTGTGTGTGTGTGTGTGTGTGTGTGTGTGTGTGTGTGTGTGTGTGTGTGTGTGTGTGTGTGTGTGTGTGTGTGTGTGTGTGTGTGTGTATGTTTGGGGTTGGGGGGTTTGGGGGTTTGGGGAAGGTTAAGGAATTCAATGGAGGGGACTAAAGACAATAGTATCACTTTGCTATACTTAAAATTTTTATTTTGTGATTTTATAAAAAAATTTAAAAAATTTTATTTTGTGATTTTATATGAAACTTTATTAAAATAATAATAATAAAATGCACCCCTATGTTTATAGCAACATTATTTACAATAGCTAAGATCTGGAAACAGCCCAAGTGCCCATCAGTAGATGAACGGATTAAAACACTATGGTACATTTAGACAATGGAATACTATCCTATATAATAAACAGCTAATATGCTAATTAGACCAGATGGTGGAATTACCATCCAGACAACCTGGATGACCTTCTGGATGAAGCCTGGGCTGCAGGGGCCAAGGCAGCCAGGGCTGCGAGTGCCAAACCCCTTGCAGAATTTCATGCATTGGGCCTCTAGTGCAGCTATGAAAAAGGATTTCTTAACTTTTGAGACAGCATGGAGGGACCTGGAGAGTGTTATGCTAAGTGAAAAATAAGCCAGTCAGAGAAAGACAAGTATCACATGATCTCACTTATATAAACTCTAATGAACAAAATACACTGATGAGCAAAACAGATCCAGAAACATAGAAACATGCAACAGACTGATGTATTTCAGAGGGAAGGGGGTAGGGGAGGGTGGGAAGAGATTAACCAGAGCTTCTATACATACATATATCATAGACAGGGGCAAACAATAGTGTGGGGAAGGCCTGAGGAAGTGTAGGAGAAGGGTGGAAGGGGTCAATGGGAAAAAAGGGGACATCTGTAATACTATCCTATCTAATAAAAGACAAAAAGGGTAGTAAACCGTACCTCCGCTACGCTTCTTATTGGCTAATCAGCGAGATATGGAAATTAACTGCCAACAAAGATGGCGGCCGCCAGCCATGCAGTTGAAGTGAGCAGGAGGTTTGCTTGCTCCAGTGATGGAGGAAGCCAAAGTTCCCTGGCTGCCACGGCCCGGCTCTTAGCTCCGAAAGCAACAGCTCCAAAAGCAACAAAGTTTCAATTATAGAAGCTAAACAAATCCCAGATACCTGCTTTCAGTAGGCCATGGCCTCAGAGCTGGAGCGAACAGGACGGCAACAAAGTTTCAATTATAGAAGCCAAACAAACCCCAGATACCTGCTTTTAGCCATCTGCAGCGTCAGAGCTGGGAGCGCCAGTGACGGCAACAGAGTTTCAATTATAGATGGTAAATAAATCCCAGAATAAAAAAAGAAAAAGAAAAAAAGAGAGGCTGGGAGCTTCAGTCACCCACCAGACTGAAAACAGCCCTCACCCCCTCACCCAGACTGGCCAGGCACCCCAGTGGGGACCCCCACCCTCAAGGGTGTGTGACCAGCTGCAATCAGCCATCATCCCCTCACCCAGGCTGGCCAGGCACCCCAGTGGGGACCCCCACCCTGATCCAGGACACCCTTCAGGGCAAACCAGGTCTC